TAAACCCGTATAAACCCTAAACCCTAAAGCCCTAAAGCCCTAAAACCCTAAACCCTTACAAACCCTAAAGCCCGAAGCCCTAAACCCCTAGTAAACCCTAAACCCCAATTTTCAAACCCTTATAAACCTTAGCCCTAAACCCTAATAAACCCTAAACCCAGATAAAGCCTAAACCCTGATAAACCCTAAAACCTAATGCACCCTAAACCTTAAACCCTAAACCCTTATCAGCCCTAAGCCCTAAACCCTAAACCCAAAGCCTTATAAACCCTAAACCCTGATAAACCCCAAACCCTAAACCCCTTATAAACCCTGAACCCTAATGAACCCTGAGCCTTAACCCTTATAAGCCCTAAACCCTAATAAACCCTAAAACCTAATGCACCCTAAACCTAGCTCCAAGGGGTTCCTCCTCTGCATCCAAGGCTCGCGAAGCTGTTCCAGCAGTCGCAGCAGCAAGGCTTTGGCCGAGCGTCTCAGTGGGGACTCCTCCGCCTCATACCTTGCTTTAGGGCTCCTTTAAAGGGTTTGTTAGGGTTTAGGGTTTAGGGATTAGAGTTTAGGGTGTAAGCTTTAGGGTTTAGGGTATAGGGTTTAGGGTTTAGGGCTTTAGGGCTTTAGGGCTTTAGGGCTTTAGGGCTTTAGGGTTTAGGGCTTCAGGGTTGGGGTTTAGGGCTTTAGGGTTTAGGGCTTTAGGGCTTCAGGGTTTAGGGGAAGGGCTCCTATGGCTTAGGGCTCCTTTAAAGGAACTATTAAGGGCTACCTAGCCCCCCAAATTCGAGATTTGGGAAGCTAAATTTAGACCCCCAGGGCCGGGGGTCTAAATTAATTTAGACCCGCGTGGGGGTCTAAATTCGTCGGGGGTGTAAATTTAGCCCCATTGCATCTATCAGTGTCCCGGGACCAGTCTTCGAGCTCGTCCTTCTGGGCGGCCTCGAAGTGCTCCAGGTGGCTTCGCCCAACGAAGTGTCGCCGGCTCCTGGCTCCGGTCCCCGCTAAGCAAAATTGGCTGCACGTGCGCGGGTTCACAACAGGCTTCAAGACTCGAGCTCGGACCTCAATCTTTTTGGCTGGGCTCATGGGTGCTCTTGCCTGGCCGGCGGACCAAGGTGAAGACTAACGCCGGGCGGGCGGGTTTCAACGCTGTACAAAAGAGGTCCGCTACTGTGCTGGCCGGCCAATCACACCAGCCGGCGCACCCAGCCGTCGGCTTCCTCGATCTCCTCCACCTTACCCGGCACCGGCTCGCTGGTGATCTCGTCCGGGCGCGCCAGCTCCGCCACGTGCACGTCGCGCCGGAACCGGACCACAGTGCGCCTGACTCCTAAGGGATCCAAAAGGGTACTATAGGGTTGAGTGTTTAAGGGTTTAGGGCTTTAGGGTTTGCCGCAAACGTTAGAATTCTGAAGCGACCAACCCAACCGCCTCCCTCACAGCCCCTTTCTGAAACCCTTTTTTGCAAACCCTTCCTAGAGGCCCAGTTACGTATCTATACTAAAGACCGTACAGTGGCCCGTAGTACCCATAACCCCATAACCCAAAAAACTATATGATAGGTAGCTCGACCACCAGGGCCTTGTAAAACCCGTGTAGAACCCTGATACTATCTTGAAAAACAACCAACAAAACACACTTCTGATAGCATCATCGAACCCTTGTAGGACAGAACCCTATGAAACATAGAAGAACCCTGCGAACACCCAAAAGAACCCTTACGAAACCCTCGAAAACACTTGTTACGAAGCCCTTACAGAAACCTTGTAGATCCCTCTATACGAAACCCTCGCACAACCCGTGTCGAGCCCTCCCCGATAGAACCCTGACGCCGCCTCACGAAAACCCATTGCGAACCCCTGAAGAGCCCGGGCTCCATGAACCTATATTGGGGTTTAGGGGTTTAGGGTTTAGGGTTTAGGGGTTTAGACTAAGGTTTAGGGTACGTAGTATATAAGACCGACCTAAAGTACCTGCATAGGAACCGCCTTAAGGGCTAAGTATATACTCTCGGGAGCCTTTTTCAGAACACATCTGAAACTCCCATAACTTAATTTGTGGTCGGCTCTTATTATACACCCCAACATGGAACTTACTTATAGGGACCCGACCAAAACCTGAACCCTAAACCCTAAACTCCTAAACCCTAAACCTTGGGTAAAAGAGTCGGAGCCGAGCCAAGCTGCAGTCCTGCAAGGGGCAACTTCCGCAGCGCCAAAACCTCACTGGGCAAGTAGCCCGCTTCCGAGGGCCTGGATCAAGGTTTAGGGTTTAGGGCTTAGGGATCAAACTAGAAATCGGCGATTCTTTTATAGGGTTTAAGGTTTAGGGTTAGCGTCTTTAAAGGGGCTACTATAACCTACTATAACCTCCTATAAGGGTATGTAAGGTGGTTCCTTTCTGGAGTTCCGTAGCCCACCTCCGAGGGCCAAGGAAAACTAGAGATCGGTGGTTCCTTTTTAGGAATCCTGTATAGGGGTTCCTTCAAAGGCTTCCTTAAAAGGGGGTACCCTAAACCCTAAACCGTATACTATTCGGCGATGGAAGGTGGGGTCGTTGCGGAGGTTTGGGGTGATTAGGGCCTAAGTTTAGGGTTTGCCTGGTTTTATCCAGGGGATTCAGGCTTTTTATTTCCCATGCCGAATCTGCATGGCTCAAGGGATCTAGGGTTTCGGGGGTTGTTTGAAGGGGGGGGGGTCAGGGCTTTAGGGTTTAGGGTTTAGGGTTGAATATCCGACTGAGGGCTGTTTATAAAGATCTTTTATGATCTTTGGGGGGGCCCTTCATGGGTCTTCTTCCAGGGCCTCAGTGTTTTTGGGGAAAGCTTTTTGTTTGACCCCCGCCTCTTTTTTCTGACGCCTTTGTCTTCTAGTTAACCCCCCTCCCTCTGTTTTCTGACCCCCTCCCCCTCTCTTTCCTGACCCCCTGTATGGGACTGAATCTGACAGTCGACGGTCGTCGTGGGAACTTGTTGGCTTCCCCCCTCCACCGACCCCCTCCCCTCTCTGACCCCCCCCCTAATGGGACTGGATCTGACAAAGACGTTATAATGGTGGTGGTTGACCGTCGTCGTCGTCGTTGGGACCTCTTGGCTTCCCCCCTCCACCGTTCGCGGAGGGGGTACTGAGCCCTCTGCCGCTGAAGCGGTTTGTGCAAGGCCTGGTTGTGGGCAAAAACCTTCACGAATTGGAAAAGGGCTGGCTTCATCTCCAAGTCTGACAGATAGAAATGCAGACATGACAAACACACAGCCAATGCAGCCAGGGGACCGTTTCACGGAACCAATGATTGAGTTCGTGATGTAGACTTTCATTGGACGTCGTCCCACTTGGGAGAAGCACCAGAGTTTCTCGACCGACGGAGTGGCGGTAGCGGGTGTCATTGAAAAGCCACTGCACCTTTGTCTGCGAGGCCAAGTTGATGATCAGCCGCTGCAAGGAAGCTCCGGTAAATGTGATCTTCTGGACCTCATGAAAAAATAAAGGGAAAGATGAGCAACTATTGCCTCCAGGAAGTCTATCTCGGTGAGCCATAGCTGATCGGGGTCTATCTCCTCCAGGTGCTGACATGCAGGAGCCGTAGTCATATCTGGATTCTCCAGACGCTGTCGCATAGCTCTGACGTCTGCACTGGAGGCATGCAACACTTGACCTGTATACCATGCCCCTAGCCGAAGCCGTGTCTTGATCCACGCCGAGCCTTGGTTTCTTGGCGTCTGGCAGCTCAGCAGGCGGCGGCGACTCGAGGACGAAGTCCATGGCTTCATCCAGTTCTTGATTGATTCTCTGCGAAAAATTTGGGGAGCTTGGCGCCTCACTACCACCGCGAAGATCTTGCTCGGTCGGACTAGTCAAATGCATGCAGGACTGCAGATCCTCTCGCCGCCAGGACATTAGCCTGTCCACGCGATCCGACATGATTGGTACTGGAATGATAGGGGCTCAGGTGGAGACACACAATTCGTAAATCTGTCGCAGTCACATCATAGTATTGCCGAAGAATCCACGCGTAGATATTCAGCTGGATGCAGTAGTGCCACAGGACAGAGTCCTGTGTGTCCTCCAGTGGAAAGTGAAGTCTGCGTCCGAAGCTGCAATCCTTCGACGCCAGTTGCTTAGTGCGTTTCCAGTCTAAAAGACAGATGTCCGAACCACGCTGCGCTACGGCATCAATGGACCCTGCCAGATCCTCCGCCTCCGCGTACACGGTCCATTCCGTTCGATGAATGACCCACCCTCTGATTGGAAGACACGCAGAAACTTGAAGAACATGCAAATCTCTGCAGACTCCACGGGCACGCTGCCACCGTTGAGCAAACACTCGCATAGCGCATGCGTCCAGGTTCCCTGAGAAGCAGCTGTCCTTCGATTCATTTCCAACATGTTCAGAATCTGCGCGTCACTGAGAGTCACGACTTGCGCTAGATGCCTCAAGCCCCCCCCCCCTGCCCTTTTACCATCGGATACGGGGGTCAAAAAGGAGATGG